ACGCTTTGAAACTACTGTCGGTCTTGGCCTCCACCACCTTCTGTGTGTGTGTGTGTGTGTGTGTGTGTGTGTGTGTGTGTGTGTGTGTACTCACCTAGTTGTGCTTACGGGGGTTGAGCTCTGGCTCTGTGGTCCCCCCTCTCAACCGTCAATCAACTGGTGTACAGATTCCTGAGCCTATTGGGCTCTATCATATCTATATTTGAAACTGTGTATGGAGTCAGCCTCCACCACATCACTGCCTAATGCATTCCATTTATTAACTACTCTGACACTGAAAAAATTCTTTCTAACGTCTCTGTGGCTCATCTGGGTACTAAGTTTCCACCTGTGTCCCCTTGTTCGTGTCCCACCCATGCTGAAGAGTTTGTCTTTGTCCACCCTGTCAATTCCCCTGAGAATTTTGTAGGTGGTTATCATGTCTCCCCTTACTCTTCTGTTTTCCAGGGATGTGAGGTTCAGCTCCCTTAGTCTTTCCTTGTAACTCATTCCTCTCAGTTCTGGGACCAGTCTGGTGGCATACCTCTGAATCTTCTCTAACTTCGTCTTGTGTTTAACTAGGTATGGACTCCAGGCTGGAGCTGCATACTCCAGGATTGGTCTTACATATGTGGTATACAGGGTCCTGAACGATTCCTTACACAAGTTTCTGAAGGCAGTTCTTACGTTGGCGAGTCTAGTATACGCCGCTGATGATATCCTTTTGATGTGGTCCTCTGGGGACAGGTTCGGTGTGATATCAACCCCCAGATCTTTCTATTTGACTCTTGCAGGATTTCACCTCCCAGATGATACCTTGTGTTCAGCCTTCTGCTCCCTTCGCCTAATTTCATGACTTTACACTTTCCTGAGTTGAACTTTAGCAGCCATTTTCTAGACCATTCCTCCAGTTTGTCCAGGTCATCCTGTAGTCTCTGCCTATCTTCATCTGTTTTGATTCTTCTCATAATTTTTGCATCATCAGCAAACATTGAGAGGAACGAGTCTATACCCTCTGGAAGATTGTTTACATATACTAGAAACAGGATGGGTCCAAGTACAGAGCCCTGTGGGACTCAGCTGGTGACATCTCGCCACTCTGATGTCTCCCCCCTCACAGTTACTCGCTGTTTCCTATTGCTTAGATACTCCCTTATCCACTGGAGCACCTTACCTTTTACTCCTGCCTGTTGCTCCAACTTTTGTAACAGCCTTTTGTGAGGTACTGTTGTTACGGACCCGAGCCCAGCGTCCGAGCACAGAGCAGTGACGACCACGCCATCTGTGGGTCAGCTCCCGAAACCCCTCCAAATGGACGACGCCATCTAGTGAGGACGAGATATACCGGCCACAGGGGCTGGTTTCTCGTCCTAATCAGCTCGTGACACAGCCGCTGCTTACCTCTGGTGAGGTGACGCTTAGACAGCAACGCCATCTATGGAGTGGATAGGTGGGCGTTGGTGTCTAAGCCTGTAAGTGAGGTGCCCTAGGGTGTCCCTAGTACTGATGACGTGTCTGATTACAGAGTCGACCTGGGACTGCTGGATTGGACGATGGGCAGTCTACCCAAGGCAGCCCTAGAATTTCCACGAATTTGCTGTAGAAGTTGTGAGTCACCCCCCGGATGAACACTGTTGTGTTAGCCTGCCTGTGACGTGGCAGTTGAGGAATTGTCGTACCCGGGGCTGACTGGTGGAGAAGACTAGCCACTGGGGTGTTGTGGTGAGGAGAGTGATCTGTGGAATCACACGAGGCTCCTGCCTAGGGCTCGCAACCCTAGTATCGGTCGTGGAGTGGCCTACGCAGCGTAGCTGATTGGAACCTGCCAGCTACAGGCTGGATTTGTGGTTGAAGGCCTCCACGACGGTGCACCCAGTGGGACTGTGATTTGGCTGGCCTGTGGCCGGGGTAGACTCGTCAGGAGAATCTAAGGATTCATCATGAGGCCACGAGAAGAGAACCAGGGTTACTCATCGTGAGCACCGTGGGGCATCCCGTGTCTTCGGAGGAAGACGTATTATTGTAAATATGAAGTGTAGTAATAGTAATCGCGTGTGACGGTTTATATACTTATTTATGGTGGTGGAATAATTATATATTTAAGTTTGGTGCAGTTTTATCCCTTCCCCTTTAATTTACTTGCGTCACGGAACACATCCCTTGAAAGCCACTACTAACGTGGGGCCGGATACCCTAACTCTAATAACATCAGAGAAAGAACCCAGTTGCGACCCAATAGGGCCGTAACAACTGTGTCAAAGGCTTTCTGACAGGCCAAGAAAATGCAGTCTGCCCACCCTTCTCTTTCCTGTCTAATTTGTGTTCCTTGGTCATAGAATTCTATTAGGCCTGTGAGGCACGATTTACCATCTCAGAACCCATGCTGGTGGTGTGTTACAAAGCTATTTCCCTCCAGATGCTCTACGAGCCTTTTCCTCACAATCTTCTCCATCACCTTGCATGGTATACAAGTTAGGGAAACTGGCCTGTAGTTCAGTGCCTCTTGCCTGTCACCCTTTTTGTATATTAGGACTACATTAGCTGTCTTCCAACTTTCCAGAAGGTCTCCTGTTTCCAGTGACCTGTTATGCACCATAGAGAGTGGCACACTTAATGCTTCTGCACCTTCCTTTAGTATCCACGGTGAGATTTTGTCAGGCCCAACAGCCTTTGACACATTCAGCTCCAACAGATTCCTTTTGACCTCATCACTGGTGAGGTCAAATTCCTCCAAGGTTGTTCGGTTTGCCTCCTCATTTAGTGCAGGGACCTCTTCTTGTTCTATTGTGAACACCTCCTTGAATCTCTTGTTGAGTTCTTCACACACCTGTGTGTGTGTGTGTGTGTGTGTAATTACCTAAGTGTAGTTACAGGATGAGAGCTACGCTCGTGGTGTCCCGTCTTCCCAGCACTCTTTGTCATATAACGCTTTGAAACTACTGACGGTCTTGGCCTCCACCACCTTCTCCCCTAACTTGTTCCAACCGTCTACCACTCTGTTTGCGAAAGTGAATTTTCTTATATTTCTTCGGCATCTGTGTTTAGCTAGTTTATATCTATGACCTCTTGTTCTTAAAGTTCCAGGTCTCAGGAAATCTTCCCTATCGATTTTATCAATTCCTGTTACTATTTTGTATGTAGTGATCATATCACCTCTTTTTCTTCTGTCTTCTAGACAGAAGACAGCACCCTTGATTAGCGAGTTTGAACAAACGAACATATATATATATATATATATATATATATATATATATATATATATATATATATATATATATATAATAATATAATCTCACGACAAGTTTGAATGGACCCCAAGCCATATGTATCGGAAAACTCTTCCTCGTGCAGGGTTCGAACCTCGGACAGCCAGGCGCTCCATACACACACTAGCGTATCCAGTACCATGTCCACTAGACCACAACTGACTGTTAAAACATTTAGAAGTTTGATATACTTTTTGTCCAATTGCCAACAGCACTCGGTGGCCAATGGGCACAGATAGTTCCATCAAATCAATTCACTATATGATGAAAACACGACCATCATTTTACACGAGAAGCTTGGAAGCTTCCTTGTGAAACCCTTCACAAGGAAGAGTTTTTCTGATATAAATGATGAGACGATGAGCTGCCGGGCTCTTGCTTGTGTTATGATGAGATTATTTATCTATACAATGTATATAGGGGATCTGATCCTCCCACCAGAGGATCTGATCCTCCCACCAGAGGATCTGATCCTCCCACCAGAGGATCTGATCCTCCCACCAGAGGATCTGATCCTCCCACCAGAGGATCTGATCCTCCAGAGGATCTGATCCACCAGAGGATCTGATCCTCCCACCAGAGGATCTGATCCACCAGAGGATCTGATCCTCCAGAGGATCTGATCCACCAGAGGATCTGACCCTCTAAATTCAATAATCAGACGGCCGCCCAGGCATTCTTATCTCCTACAACAAAGACTTTAATTTCTATTCCTGTGGTATGCAAATTTTTATTACCATTTCTCTTGTTTAAAAGTGTAAAATATATTACAAAACGGGTATACTGACTGTTGTGGCTATACTCACTTGGGCAGGTATACTTGCCTTGTATAGTTAGAGGGTTTCGGTGGCACAGTTGGCTTTGTCCTCAACTCACAATCGGGGATCCCAGTTTCGATTCCCAAGCAGTACAGAAACCTTTCACCTAACACCTTTGTTAATCTAACAGTAAATATACCCTCGAGTGAGGCAACTGTTATAGGCTTGCATTCTGGGACGGGGGGGGGGGGGGTGGATAAGCAGTTCCACCTTAGTGGGGCCTCGAAATAAACCTAGTGTGTGTACACACACACACACACACACACACACACACACACACACACACACACACACACACACACACACACACACACACACACACACACACACACACACACAGGCTTCCCGTCCCTGGCAAAACAAAAACGAGTCATTCACACCAGAGTAGATATATGCTCAATACTCTGTCTTGTGTTCACTCAAAAGATGAGTGACTCCGCCCAAGAAACTAGTCCTTCGAGCCAAAGATTTTATTACAAACTAACGTTGTTCCTGCCCGTACAGGGACCTTGTACAGACGCAGCTAGTGTGCGACTGCGGGCTGACGTGGCTGGCGGAGGCTGTGGCCACTAAGAGAGTCAACATCTCCAGAGGCTCAAAGTGCTACCGCCCTCGAGCTCTCAACGGTACCCACATCAAGAAGCTCACGCCAGATCAACTCCAGTGTCGTAAGTATCTCCATCAATCATAGCTGCTATACTGTCATTTCTGGCTGATGGCTTGCATTGCTGCCAGGAATGTCGGGTCTTGTAAGTACCCTGCAACAAACTACCGGATAACAAAATAGACATGAGATCACTGGGTTGTTTTAAGTGCAGGCCAGATATTATATATGAATGAGTTTAGATGGATATAATTAGAACCTCCCTCATGTGGGCCATGAGGCAGATTCTGCAGTTTCCATTACTTTTATGAAACAATCCAGGAACTTCCTTACTGCTAGAGCTGCTAGAGCTGCTAGAGCTGCTAGAGATATCAGGTATTCGAATTACAAGGACCAACCTTCAAGGAAAGCTTCAAGGCACTGGGGAACCAAGGCACAAGGTGTACCGGAGGGCTTGCTGGTTTTAGTTGTTTTTCTTCTCCGGCAGCAAGACTTACTTCCAGGAAGACAAGTACTAGGTGGTCGTAATGCTAGGGTGGTGCTACGGAGATTGGGTACTTGCTGCTGTGGAAGCTGGTTTCTAGGTGCTGGGAGGCTGGGTGCAAGGCACTGTAGGTTAGAGAGGCTGAGTACCTGAAGCTAGGAAGGCTGGGTATCTGGTACAAAGCTGGGTGCCTGGGGCTAGGAAGGCTGGGTGCCTGGAGCTAGGAAGGCTGGGTGCCAGGGTTGTGGCAGAAGACTCTGGCAGGCACATCCGCCCTAAGTTATTTTTACCAAGCTAAAGTTTCCTTATTAGTGGGATCAAATTAACTCCCGGGCCTTCTAAGCTGCTTAGTGAGGGCAAGAGAGGAGAGAGAGGGAGGAGGTAGACCTAGGTAGATATGCAGGTAAAGAACCACCCATGAAAAAAAATGTGATGACGAGGGTGAAAACTTTATATATATTTATAGTTCCAAAAACGAGCTACCCGAGGGTAGGGGGGGGGGATAGATTGATATTTTGAAGTTTGGGATTTTAAGAAAAATCTTAAGTAGTTTATAACATTTAATTTATATAGTATTAAGGCATGATAATGTACTTACCAAATTACCTTAACCCTTAAACTGCGCAGCTCGGTAAAAATACTGCATCTTGTTGTACGCGACACACAGCAGCTCACAGAGTTAATGTATCACAAATCACAGCTAATTCAAGGTAAAAAGTAATAGTCCAGGGGGGCAATTCAACATAGTATGACAATAACTTAGCTTCTTTACATCAACAAAAATTAGCGTTAATGTGTTGTGGTACAGATGGTCCCGGCCTCTCTGTGGTGGAGCTGGAGCCGGGGCTGGACCAGGTGGTGTTCGCCGGGGACTCCTTGCGTCTCCGCTGCCGGGTCACCAGCGCCGAGGAGAGCCACCAGGTATGGTGGGCACACGGCGATGCCCACATCGTGCCCAGGAAGCCCGCCTCCAACAGCTCCGCCACTGTCACTGGCTACCTTGACCAGCACCACCAGCGCGGAGGAGCCAGCGTCAAGATCACCTACATGCCCGAGGCTATAGAGAGGTAGGTTAAGCCTCTCCATCATTATTATGTTTGTTTCAGATTCAGCTTCTCGGAACAAAACGTTCAAAGTAGCCATTAGGATACCTGATCAACAGGCCGAGACTCGTAAGTCGGACTGTGAGCAGCCGCGTCCAACAGCCTGGTTGACCAGTCCAGCAACCAGGAGGCCTGGTCAAGGACCGGGCCACGGGGACGCAAAGCCCCGAAACCGTCTCAAGGTAACCTCAAGGTAGCACGGGCTATGGTGAGCCCGTAGCATTATTGTGTTTTACACCATGTTTGTCAGGCTGTTTGTTTCCTAAATGGATAGATAACATTAACCTGTTATGCTTTCTAAATGTTTATTGACTAAATGTTATGAACTCCGTAACCGGGTTATTTTAAACTCAACGATCCTTCTCAAGTCCAGAGATCCCTAAGGTTGGTGGAAATGCAGTGTAATGTTTAAGGTACAATAAATAAAATTGCACGTAAAAATAACCCTTATTATTATTATTATTTACAATTGCCACTATATACAATCTTCTGACGAGGTCGTCCAGCCCATACTAGTCCTCGTGCTATCTAGCTTCAAAGATGACACACTATGTACCTCCCTCTGACGAGGTCTTCCAGTCCTACAATAGCCCTCACACTAGCTGCAGTTATGGTGAAGTCTTCCAGCGCTCCACTAGCCCCTCACGCTAGCTTCAGTTATGGTGAAGTCTTCCAGCGCTCCACTAGCCCCTCACGCTAGCTGCAGTTATGGTGAAGTCTTCCAGCGCTCCACTAGCCCCTCATGCTAGCTGCAGTTATGGTGAAGTCTTCCAGCGCTCCACTAGCCCCTCACACTAGCTGCAGTTATGGTGAAGTCTTCCAGCGCTCCACTAGCCCCTCACGCTAGCTGCAGTTATGGTGAAGTCTTCCAGCGCTCCACTAGCCCCTCACGCTAGCTGCAGTTATGGTGAAGTCTTCCAGCGCTCCACTAGCCCCTCATGCTAGCTGCAGTTATGGTGAAGTCTTCCGGCGCTCCACTAGCCCCTCATGCTAGCTGCAGTTATGGTGAAGTCTTCCAGTGCTCCACTAGCCCCTCACGCTAGCTGCAGTTATGGTGAAGTCTTCCAGCGCTCCACTAGCCCTCTGGCTAGCACACTCCCGCAAAGGTGTCCCAAGGTTGACCTGTGTATTGCTTTACTCTCTCTGCTTCTCTGCCATCTGTCACCAGTACCTCATCACATCCCAGAACAGCAGACCAGAAGATGGGGAAACTAATATTAATAGGAGGGTCAACTATTTAACCCTGAACCTAGATCATAGATGGCACCGAGGTCCATCACTAAATGAATAAATAACATTAATCTGTTATGCTCTCTAATTGTTATTGACTAAATAGATACATAACATTAACCTGTTATGCTCTCTAAATGTTTATTGACTATATGAATAGATTAACATTTCACTATCATGAACCTCTCCACATTGTATACAGACTAAATGGGTAGCTAACCAAACTGATATCATCCATTATAGAACCCACATGCAAAGACACTACAGCAGCCCCACTGTACAAACAATAATACTCACAGCTAATTACTTTCGTTTCTCTCTCTCCATAATAGCATGGTTGAAATCCGGGAGCTGAACGGGACTCACAGTGGAGAGTGGTCGTGTCTGGTGCAGGGACAGCAAGGTAACCACACGCGCACAGTCAGCATCTACGTCATTGCCCACGACACCAAGTACTGCCCCATCAATGGTGAGCTTGTGTATGGGGGGTTTGTTCTGGTTCTCACAGGTGTTGATGGTCACTTGACTGGTTGGTGGATATGTGTGGCTGTGGGCTGCTCCAAGCAACAGCCTGTTGGACCAAGCTTTCTTAAGTCAAGCCTGGCCTCGGGCCGGGCTTGGGGAGTAGAAGGACTCCCAGAACTCCATCAAGCAGGTTATTGGGTCCTCGTGATGTCCAGCCTGTGGTGTCATTAAGGCTGTTCCAAAAATGTATTATAAATTTTAATTCAAAATTATTATTAATTAATCCAAAAGTTGTTATTAATTGCCCAACTGGTCTTCAGTGATTGGTGTGGTGTTTGGGCTTAATGAATATCATCCTCCGGAGGATTATTAAGGCTTATCATCTTTATGGAAGGTTATTAAGGCCTATCAAGCTCTGGAAGGTTATTAAGGCCTATCAACCTCTGGTGGGTTATTAAGGCCTATCAACCTCGAGGGTTATTAAGGCTTAACAACCTCTGGAGGGTTATTAAGGCTTAACAAGCTCTGGAGGGTTATTAAGGCCTATCACCCTCTGGAGGGTTATCAAGGCCTATCACCCTCTGGAGGGTTATCAAGGCCTATCACCCTCTGGAGGGTTATCAAGGCCTATCACCCTCTGGAGGGTTATCAAGGCCTATCACCCTCTGGAGGGTTATCAAGACCTATCACCCTCTGGAGGGTTATCAAGGCCTATCACCCTCTGGAGGGTTATCAAGGCCTATCACCCTCTGGAGGGTTATCAAGGCATATCACCCTCTGGAGGGTTATCAAGGCCTATCACCCTCTGGAGGGTTATCAAGGCCTATCACCCTCTGGAGGGTTATCAAGGCCTATCACCCTCTGGAGGGTTATCAAGGCCTATCACCCTCTGGAGGGTTATCAAGGCCTATCAACCTCTGGAGGGTTATCAAGGCCTATCACCCTCTGGAGGGTTATCAAGGCTACCACAATAGCTTACTGACCAACCAGCAAGTACACTTTATTACTAAAGTATTAAATTAAACTCTGTGTACAGGAAAGGGAAGCCCAGTAATCTCTAGGGCAAAAATGAGATACAGTACTTTACTGGGAAGATCATGCAAATGAGAACAATGGGTAAGCTACCCATCTTGCCAAGCACCTTAGCCTGGCCCCAAGAAAGAGCCCTGTGTACAACCAAGGAGGTGGAATTGTGCAAGAGGAGCAATACAATACTGAAGGCATTGTTGAATCAATGGCAGGAAATACAATCCTGAAAGCTGAGTGTATTTAACAAGCAGCTCCAGAGAAGAAAGTAAGTAATTATAACTTAATTAAGCAAGTAAGTATAGTACAAGAAGGCACCAAGCCGGGAAGGCTATGTAGCACCATCAAATGTGCGGAATAATCAGAGGCCGCTAAATATCACCGAGGATGCCAATATGAGAACAGACCAGAGAAGAAAGCCCCACAAGAACGTCCAGGAGCAATGGAGGAAACAGGAAAGCCAGACACTGAACATGTTCACAGGAGCAATATTTCTGGATGAACTGGGTGGGTCGACAGCCCTACCTTGTGGAGGTTCCGGGAGTCAATGGCCCTGCAGCCCGGCCTCCGACCAGGCCTCCTGGTTGATCGACTGGTCAACCAGGCTGTTGGAAGTGGCTGCTCACAGCCTAACGTATGAATCACAGCCTGGTTAATCAGGGTGGATCCTGTATCTTGCAAGGGTAAGATCCAGGACAAGACAAAGTTGGAATACTGGTGACAACACTCGCCCCACATCTTGCAGACGATTCGGTCTCAGTTCAAGTCGTAGCCAGGTAGGATTGACTAGGTGCCAGTCCTGCTTGCCCCTGTTCACCCAGCAGCAACTAGGTACCTGGTTTTTAACTGATTGGCAGATTGTGTTCCAGTGAAAACTAGTAAAATGCCTTTCAGCCTGCTAACAGGAGTCAGAAGTCATCTGACCCTGTACCCTCCTAGGTAAAATAAATAAATAAAATAAAAAGATCAGACCAAACCCCTTTCTTGCTGTCACCAAGTGGGGGGGGTAAGGGGTGAGGGGCGCCAACACAAACTCCCGCCAGCAATATAGCATTTGAAAAAAGGCGGGAAAATGTGTTGCATTACACGGCCCAAATGCTCAAATCTCTCCATCCTGCGCCAAATATAATAGCCTGTTTGTTGTTTTAGATTCAGCTGTTTGGAACAAAAAGTTCCAAACAGGAAATTTTTGGAACTTGGAAAAGAAACAGGAACATACGGGCTATGGTGAACTCGTAGTGGACTTGTATAATAGGCATACTGCAAAATGGAGTACCTAACTCAAGGAACTACAAACACAGGCCCAACGGTCTCCACCATGTCTGCAGTGTAGTGAGCTGCGAGTCAGGAAGAGGGAGGGGTCCCAGAAGAGGGGCACAGCACACCTGACACTAATTCCCCCACAAATGGACACAAGAACATCACACATGTGACCAAACATAAGAGGAAGATGCAGATCTGAAACACTCCAAAACTGGCATAGCTGCACAAAATCATTTTGAAATAAAGTCTGCATAGAAGACAAATAAATCAAGAACACCAAAAAAATTAAAGTTATACAGACATGCAACCTGAAAACTAACATGGGTATGGGTAAGATCACAAGGAAATGTGTTAAGAAAATAACCCAACACTTTAAGAGACCAACATTGTAGAAGCAAAGGCAAAACGACAGTTTGAGACCAGCTAAATAGATGCTGGTCTATTTATTTATATATAAATTTATGGATATTTATTGTTGCAGTGGCAACAAAAAGAACCTGGAGATGTGTTTATGATCTCTCGCAGAGATCTCTTAAGATACGCAGTATTCCGAAAATTGTTATCTGTAAGAGGTTTTCTTCTAAAAATCTGTCTATTCCAGTAATCTGACAACAAATAGGTAATGACACACATTGAAGGTTTAGAGGCGTAACCAAAGAGCTGAAGCTCAGTTTCCCACAAGATCAGCCAGGTTTTATTATACCCATATTAATACTGTGGATTGTTTTAATAATATATAACTTTAAATGAATCAACTTGTAACTTGTATTTAATACATGGCATTTTATTTCCAGAGACAAGTAACAATCGAGGTTCGTATGTGTGGCCGCGAACTGTGGCGGGTGTGACAGTAGAGTTGGGGTGTGCCGGTCTTGTCCCGCCTCATCAACGGGGACCCAAAATATCCATCAAAGTTGCAGCAGCAGCAGCAGCAGCAACCACACCAAGCCTGCGGGTTGCCAAACATGTGTGTACAGTTGAAGGCTTTTGGAACGCACTGGACACTTCCGATTGTCCCTTCGTGTCCGAGACGACCAAGATCTTGGAGCAGTTCGCTTCTACCAATCTCGTGGCCAGCAAGAGAGAGCTTGTCGAAAGTGCTAAAAGTCTGCGCAATTTTACTCGTGATGGGAAGATTCTCCGTGATGCCGTGGATATTGTGTTCTTAGCCAAGACTGTGGAGCAGTACACTAACCTTCTGGGGACACTTTCAGGTCCCAAGGAGACAGCATCCACACTGATTGATATTATCAGTGCATCAATGTCAACTGCTAAAGGTTAGCTTGTAATGGATGTTATATTGGCCCAGTTATATTGTACTATACTTTGATTTCGAATACTGTATACAAGTAATGAGTTATATATATATATATATATATATATATATATATATATATATATATATATATATATATATATATATATATATATATATATATATAATATATATATAATATGACAAATTTATATAATTTGGTGTTTTGTGTGTGTTGTGTTTGCATAAGTTTTTTCCCAGATATTTCAAATTGATTTAAGCAGATATTAAAGAATTATGAAAGAGTGTGTGAAATATTTGTGACAGCCAAACCTGCAGATGGTTAAGCACAGAAAATGTTATGAATCTTTTAGCCCTTGAAGATTTTCACCCTTAAAGGTTATCATCATATGTTGATCTCATGGACCAATGTGGTTATCATCATTTATCAGTTTTAGTTGTTATCCCCCCTGGTTTTATTACAAATGTAAATACAGTATGGTTATAAATTATACATTATGATACATCTACATTGATGTAATGAAATGAACCCAAACCCCATGACACATCTAGTCTTCAACACCTGCTTCAACACCTGTGCCAAGAATCATCCGACCTCCCCTGCTGCTTCTGCCTTGACTGTAGGCCTGCAGGTACATACTGTCTCTTGCAGGTACATACTGTCTCCTGCAGGTACATACTGTCTCCTGCAGGTACATACTGTCTCCTGCAGGTACATACTGTCTCCTGCAGGTACATACTGTCTCCTGCAGGTACATACTGTCTCCTGCAGGTACATACTGTCTCCTGCAGGTACATACAGTCTCCTGCAGGTACATACTGTCTCCTGCAGGTACATACTGTCTCCTGCAGGTACATACTGTCTCCTGCAGGTACATACTGTCTCCTGCAGGTACATACTGTCTCCTGCAGGTACATACTGTCTCCTGCAGGTACATACAGTCTCCTGCAGGTACATACAGTCTCCTGCAGGTACATACAGTCTCCTGCAGGTACATACTGTCTCCTGCAGGTACATACAGTCTCCTGCAGGTACATACTGTCTCCTGCAGGTACATACTGTCTCCTGCAGGTACATACTGTCTCCTGCAGGTACATACTGTCTCCTGCAGGTACATACTGTCTCCTGCAGGTACATACTGTCTCCTGCAGGTACATACTGTCTCCTGCAGGTACATACTGTCTCCTGCAGGTACATACTGTCTCCTGCAGGTACATACAGTCTCCTGCAGGTACATACTGTCTCCTGCAGGTACATACTGTCTCCTGCAGGTACATACAGTCTCCTGCAGGTACATACTGTCTCCTGCAGGTACATAGTCTCCTGGAGGACTGGCTTTCCTGGTTGACACCCTATCTGCTTCCTCAGTTAAGGTTCCTGGCTCTGAAGTGGGTGTAGGCCATCTCCCTGCTTCCTTCCTCTTCTGCAACAGAAACAAAAAAGATCATGAGGCGGGGGTCCATCATTAACCTTTGAGTGTATTTTTGGAGCAGAGATCCTTAGGTTTCTTGTTCCATATAAACAAGTTCTCTTACTCATTTGCATGGTATGAAATGGACATCATCTTTGCTTCGCAGTTGGTGCATTTCCAAGTTTTTGTTCATGGTGTAGATTTTCAGACTTTTCCTGAAGGGTTAGGTTGTTGTTCAGTTGTTTCTTGGTGGGATTTGCTTCAGTGCTTGTTGTGTGGAACCGGGAGCGTGTGTCGTGTCCTCCTTTGAGTACGGATCCTCTTCTGGTTCCTGGTAACAGCATCAGGTCCCGGCTCCAGCCTGGCTGTCTGACATTCCTATTCGAGTCATTTAAGCAGGTGGTTTTACTGTTGTCTAGAAAGCTATGCCCAATTTTTGTTTTAGGTCTTTTGTGAGGGTCCTTCCTTCAAGGCATGCAATGAAAAAACAATATACTGTAAAGGATTTGGGTGTACTCGTGTCTAACTCCAAGATAGGGAAAGTGGTGAAGGGCAGGGAAGGTGGTGGAGGGTAGGGAAGGTGGTAGAGGGTAGGGAAGGTGGCGGAGGGTAGGGAAGGTGGCGGAGGGTAGGGAAGGTGGCGGAGGGTAGGGAAGGTGGCGGAGGGTAGGGAAGGTGGCAGAGGGTAGGGAAGGTGGTGAAGGGTAGGGAAGGTAGTGAAGGGTAGGGAAGGTGGTGAAGGGTAGAGAAGGTGGTGAAGGAAAGGATAGAGAGGACATCTTCCTTGCTGCCAATGTTTGTCTCTGCACCATTGAGTCCATTTGAGTCTTGGTATTATACCATATCTAAAATTGACCTTGGGTCCTCCATAATTACATAGCATCAGTAGTAACTCCTGCATGTTTTGACCCAGTCTCATTTGCATTTATGAAAGCATTCAAACTATCAACAGGAGACTCACCGGTGGTGTGTTGGCAATTTTGACAAAATAGAAACTCTTCACTAATTGTACATCAACTTTATATGGCAAGAAGGCAAACAAACCAGCATGTGTTTGTGCTCATTGATAGTTAATTATATCAAAGATTTCTACCAAGATTTCATCTGGTTGATGATGCTGGGGAAGTTAGATAACTTAAGGAATTAATTATATTGTAATGTAAATTATTATAAGTTGTATATTTAGGGATTTGTGACCCCCTTTGAGGGACTTGTAGTGCAGTAGACAAGGATAGAAATAACCTAAGTTGCTCTGGTCTTTAGGGATGTATTTTGTTATCTCACCAAACTTGTTGAACTTGAAGCAGTCCCAGTACTGGAGTTTAATATAATGACTCATATTTTACTTGGTGACATATACTGTACTGTCATTGTAGGGTTAGCATTCGATCTTCACATTCAAAATGGTTGAGTACTGTTCCTTCAATGTCCTCATATCCCTTACAAGTTCTATAGTCATACTTGCCTAACACGTTCTCCTGATAAGTGCCATCTATCTTGAGGTTATCTTGAGATGATTTCAGGGCTTAGCGTCCTCGCGACCTGGTCCTCGACCAGGCCTCCTTTTTGTTACACACCTCCAGGAAACACCCAAGTACCTATTTACTGCTAGGTGAACAGGGGGCATCAGGGTGAAAGAAACTCTGCCCATTTGTTTCCGCCTTCGCCAGGGATTGAACCCGGAACCTCAGGATTATGAATTCGAAGCGCTGTCTACTCAGCTGTCAGGCCCCCCTCATGTTCAAGTTTATGTTCATAATATTTATTTTTTAAAACCGTGTTGGTTAGATTCGAGTTATGAGTTCTTGCTACTCATCATCATTGTTTTAAACTTGTAGTATAAATAACATTGGTGAACAGGCTATTGTAATGTGGTACCTCTTCCAGAACTATTATACATGGCAGAGGTCCTTGATGGTGCCTGTCAGCGCTTGTTGAAGTGTCTGTGGGACGTGGCAACGTACTTCCCCACCTTGAATCGTGCTGCTTATCACATTGAGCTTCATCAGTTCAGCAGGCAACCAGAAACCTTCTCTGGGCTCACTTGCAACTGGTACAGACGTAGTGTGCACTCAACTGAGCGACATTTCCGGTGCAATACCAACAATTACTCGATGCTCTATAGGTATGGTAATTCTTCCCTCCTGTTAAAATATCATGAACTATTGAATTGTACTGAATAATATTTTTAAAATTTGTAATTTGTATTATTATACTGAACTATGATTTTAATTTTTGTTTACCTTGCAGCAGTGATGATGAGATAATGGATGCCCAGATCCAAGTTCCATCTAGTTTATTCTCAAGGGAACAGCTGAAGGCAACAAATACATCAGAGGATGAGACGGGGCTTCCCAACTCGCAAACAGTGCAACTCCAGTTTTTTGTGTATGATACAGCTAAATTCTTCCCCCGGGTACTAGCTGGCAACTCTGATACATGGGAAATTACTTCACCTGTGATCGGTGTGAGAGTAAGCGATCAGGAAGAGGAATTACAACTAGAAGACAGTGTGTATGTTACTCTTCGATCAGCCATTTACAGCCACAACATCATGCCTGTATGGTGGAAAGAGAATGCTACAAGTAATCAAGGAAATTGGACTAGTGAAGGTTGCAAAATTGTTCGCATGTTGAACTCTCTGGTGGTTTTCCGGTGCAATAGGTTAGCTCACTTCGCCCTCTTGCAAGACATGGCAGCTTTGCATCGAAGTCAAGAAGGAGCAAAGGGTGCAGAATTTCGACCAAGTGCACCTGGAGTGTATGTTGGCAGTGCAGTTTGTATTTTATTCCTAATGGCATCTATAGTAACATGGGCTGCTCATCATCATCGTATTGCCACTATGAACAAAAACAAACATTCTTTAATAAACACTTGGATTGCTTTGCTGTTACTAGTGAGTTTGTTTACAGCGGGTGTTTATCAAACTGAGAACCAGCAACTGTGCCAAGGGATAGGAGTTGCTCTTCATTACTTAACAACATGTGTGTTTCTGTGGATTATTGTGACTGTAACAAACTTGTACAAGAAGGTCACTAAAGCTCTGCGTCCTCCAGTCCCAGTTGAAGATACCCCACCTGACATCCCCCTGCCACCCAAGCCAATGCTCCGTTTCTATCTAGTTGGGTGGGGCATTGCACTTATCCTCTGTGGCATATCTGCAGCTGTCAACCTTCAGCAGTATGCAGGATACAGCTACTGCTTTTTAGCATGGGGACCTAGTTTAGGGGCATTTTATGCCCCAACAGCTGCTCTTGCTTTTATCCTCTCCACTTTTTTCCTGCTGACCCACTGTATGCTGAGATCACTTCGGGCTAATTATCCTGAAGTTACCGGTGCTACTGAAACGACAGAATTAGAACTTTTAGATGCAAACTCCCCAAACTCGGAAAATGCAAATGTTCCGGGCGAGGAAGAGCTTAGTATTGCTTCTCGGGACACAGCAGTCAGTGTATCGGATGGACAGCACAGCCCTCTCACACAATTAAGGGCACATGTAGTTACCCTGTTACTTTTCATTCTCACATGGGCAGCTGCTGCAATCACCACTGCAGCACCATTTGCTTCTGTAATCCCACACCATACTACAATCTTTAGCATTATTTATGCCATATGTGCTAGTAGTTTGGGCATATTTATATTTGTGTTCTTTTGTATAAGCCGCAGTGACATATGGGAGGCATGGCGAGAATGTTCCTGTGCATTTGGTAGACAGAGGAAAGAGGAGGAAGAGGTACATTTGACAACTCCAGCCAATAACAGCAGTGCTAATCACATTGTAGCATCCAATAACCAACCACGAGGACCTGTAGGAGCACCCAGCACACACAGTCTGGATTCCTCCCAAACCCACCAAACAAACAAATCGTCATCTGTTTCTCACAGTATTCTTACTTCAAATAAGCCAGAAAGTCTCAGTAAAGCCACCAATAATCTCCAGCTACTGAGCTTGGGCACCATGACAAATGATCTCCATTATGCACCAGAAATTTTTTACAACCCTAAACAAGCTGGAGTTGCCAAGAGGTTTTTTCAGAAACAACGCATGAGGCAAATGGTAAAACAAAATAATCTCGAAATTAACAGGACAGACAGTGATTGCAATTCCACAGTTTACAAACCAAAGATTTCACGATCAATCAATTCAGAACCCAGCAAATCCAATTTTGATCCCTCATGTTTAGGAGCCTCAAGCAAAGTAAACAATACTAATATTCATGTAGATTCAATGTATGCTTACATACCAAGCGAGTTTCAGAAGGGTGGAGGAAAACATGCCAGTAAAGACCCTACTCCCGAGGTGCTTTGTGTATTGGGACCAAGCAATGATACCAAAATGATTGGCCTTTATCCATCAATGAACATTGAGAGACCGATTGACGTGGACAGAGGGTGGGCAACCATACCTCGTAAACCACGTGCTTTTATGGAGGAACCACTAAGCCCTATGCGGCGTGGTGGATCTTTCCCTAGCATTGTGGAGGAAGGGCAACTAACATCTCAGGCTACCAGTCAAAGCTCAGCCCTGGAGCAGCTACCATATATCCCCCAAGAGCAGCTACAACAGCAGAGACTGTTTAATTACCCAGTACTAGGCCAGGTGGCCCCTATGAATCAACAGTTAATACAGTATCATAACCCTAGACTCCAGCAACACTTAGACGAGGAGGATCTTGTAAGAAAAAACAGAAATTCTTTTAATTCCGAACAAACCGAAAGATCTGACGTACCAGTTATAACACGAAATGTTGATCATTCTCGAATTGGTCGACACCACAAATACAGATCGGGTCGGGAGAGGCCTCGACCCGGAAGAAATAGGCGTAAAGTCACCAGATCAAGAGGAAACTGTGCACTTGATGAAAAAGATGACTGGACAGATGATAACACGTCTCCTATTATTATTAATCACTTGCCATCTAGAGAGCCTGGAACATCAGAATCTGACAAGGATGGAAATCCTCATCGGTTTGTGCCATATCCACAGCATATTCATGCCATCACCCCACCCAACACTCAGCATGCTGCTCTCCAGACTGGTATTGATTCTGTAAATCCAACTTTGCCTTCAGAGCAGCCAGGGGATATGCTATGTATCAATATGTCCTGGCCACATGTTATGAATTCTGCTAACTCAGCGGATCAAAATGATAGGACCGGCTCGGAGAAAGGTAATTGCCAGTGTCTTCATGCAGCATATTCTTCTAACTTGGATGATTCTTCTCAATTGCCATTAGAGATGTGTTGTGATGAAGATCACGGTGAAGATGGGGAGTGTGAAGCATGGGACAGTGAATGTGGCGATGTGTACTGGTGTGATGGTGGCGGCGAGGAACGTATTAGTGTTTGCGAGGTCAGTGGATGTGAGAATTCCAGTCTTTGTGGAGGAGCATGTGGAGCACCTGGAGATTTGTGTGGAAGCCAGAGCAGCGAGGGTGGGACCAGCATAGGAGGTGCAAGTGTGGATCCTGCTGTTGGCACTAGTCCTCGGGGAAGTGTCAATATCTCGGATTCCCCATATGACTCTCCTCTACACCGTCTTCATCAAAATACTCCAGATAGTGGATCTCTGGATTCAGGTCTTCTCGGGTCTCCAGGGCGGCCTCCATATGATACAACACTTGCAAACAGTGGCCATGTTCATAGCACACCAAAAGAAGGGGATATGTTCCACAAAATTGATCTTCCACCATGTGAAGCATACATGCAAGACGTAAGTACAGAAACGATAAACTCACAAGATGATCTCGACTCCACTAACTCTAATAGTGGATACTTTAAGACTGAAACAAGCACAGCAGATTCTTCTGGGAACTCTATTTTCTATCATACCAATAGCTCGGTAGAAACGGTTTTAAGAAATGGTGACAAATATGATGGTGTAAATGATAGCAGTGATGATGGGAAGTTGTGTAATAAAGATCATAGAAGAGCAAGTGTTAAAGGCGATAGTGAAGACTATGAAAACACACTGGACCAGGACCCAGATTCTAATTCAAAGAGAGAAACGTGCGTTTAGCAAAGCTTTCTTTTTGTGCTCGGAGATAATGTACAGTATTTATATTGTAAAAGTTCCTGTTTGTGGCATTTTAATTCATTTTAATATGAATAGACTGTGTTAATGAGTTATAATTAATATTTGTAGGAGTGTATAGTTGTAGAATTTAATTTGTACAGATCAAAATGATTAGCTATATATTTTAACCAATATCACATGTATGGTATAGCTCATTACTAGACATATCAGTCGGCAATTTATTCAGTATTTAAACCTGTTTTCAGATCTTTTTACCGTGGAAATCATAACCGTTATTGTACATTTATTGATGCAGTTATAAATTGGTATAGGATATTGCAAGAGGATTGAACATACAGTTCATTATATGAACATCAGTATACTTGATATCTCGGCCATTTTCTGTAACATCAGGTGTTGTACCATGATGTCACCTGTTCGGCAGCGATTGTGATGAGAGTATTATATACATCACTGCAAAACAAAGGGACTTGCACAGAGTACTCGTCAGCCAAAAAACAAAAGGGTAGCCTTATGTTGTAATTTAACTTTTTTATGGCATTAGGAATGCACTGTGTGTGGTGCTCATAGGAAACACTCGGCATGGCTGCTTTTGTGGCTTGGTCAAGGTTCTGAACAAAATTATCATTAGAAGGGCACCGCATAAATTTGAACTTCAGCAGTTGTACATTTAAGTGGGGAAGAGTAGCATGGTAAGACTTAATAATTCTAAATGCCATATATTTCATGGCATTAAAGTACACACACATTTAGTATTGTGACAACTTTAAATACTTCTTAGTTAATGTTGATACCGAGATTCATAAGCTTCGGAATCTTATGGAGGTGTAATTTTTATTTTGGTTTCCACTGTGGTTATACCCAGGGTATGTTGGTCTCCACTGTGGTTATACCCAGTGTGTGTTGGTCTCCACTGTGGTTATACCCAGTGTGTGTTGGTCTCCACTGTGGTTATAGCCAGTGTGTGTTGGTCTCCACTGTGGTTATACCCAGTGTGTGTTGGTCTCCACTGTGGTTATACCCAGTGTGTGTTGGTCTCCACTGTGGGTATACCCAGTGTGTGTTGGTCTCCACTGTGGTTATACCCAGTGTGTGTTGGTCTCCACTGTGGTTATACCCAGGGTATGTTGGTCTCCACTGTGGTTATACCCAGTGTGTGTTGGTCTCCACTGTGGTTATACCCAGTGTGTGTTGGTCTCCACTGTGGTTATACCCAGTGTGTGTTGGTCTCCACTGTGGTTATACCCAGTGTGTGTTGGTCTCCACTGTGGGTATACCCAGGATGTGTATAACTGGGCTTCATGTCATTCATACTCCATTATTTACTTTATTACATGTTTTCAGGTAATTAAACATTATACATTTAGCAAGAAAGAATTAAGCGGTTTGTCAGTACAATATAAATTAAATTTTTTTAAAATTAGGGTTCATTAAATGTTCCAATATTTATTATGTTACTTTGGGTGCTTTAACTGCCATTCTCCAACAATGTGAATATGATGCAGGACCTAGGAAAGAGTCCAGTGCTTTTTCTACGTACAGTACGCAAGACGTGTTTTAAATTTAATTCGGGTGAGGGGGGAGAAAGAAAAAAAAAAAAGTAGACAGGTTTTCCACAAATGGGGTTTTAAAAGAACGTTATAAAACACAGCATGTATAAATTGTAAACTAATTACAGTGTGGAGTACACGCAAGTTTAATTGCCGTGTAATCACATTTGCGGGTTCCTTTTATATGCTTAAGTGTGTTCACATCCAGGAACTGACAGCAGATGCAAGCTCAAGAAAGAAAATTCAAGAAGACTATTTCTAAGCCAAGTTTCAACGTTGTTCCAAGACTTTTGCAAATATTGTGCCTGAATCTAAATCTGCATTATTTTAGTAAAGAAACACCCTATATGCACATTTTGTACTATTGAACACAATTTTGGGAAACACATCCTTTATGAAAAAAAACACTTTCTTTCTGGCAAGCTCAGGTTATGTTCTTTCTATTGCTGATATTACAAATACATTGCTGCGATTCATCAGTTTCTGGTTCCTTGTCAATGTAAACTGAATTTTTGTACAAATAATATTTTCTAAAAAACCAGCGTTGAATGTAATGAAACGCCATTTTCTGGGTGAGTCCCGGAGGCTCCCCGGAGCCTCCGGGGCTCCCCCCAGAAAGTGTAACGTTGCAATTAGGGCATTAGTCAATTTTATTTGTAGAGATAGGTGGTATATACTTTTTATGAATTTCTTAACATTTAAAAAATGTATTGTCCCAAAGACATGTTTTATTGCCTAAGTTGTATGGTAGAGGCTGATGGAAGCAGAGCGTTTGCCACAATTATCAGCACTTTTAAAAGTCAATTGTAAATAAGCTGTAAGAGTCTGATTTATATAATGTAAATTAAATGTGAATTTTGATGCAAGTCTTTATTTGTCCCCTGAAATTATTTCATTTTTAAAGATATTAGTATTTTGGGAGTACAGTATAACTATATTGCCAAAGTATTAAAATATAGTATACCAAACACTTCCTGTACTTAATGAAAATTACTACTTTCCAAACCTGTTCATTATTTTATGTACATGAAATCTCATTCATGTGATTGCAAGTTGAAGCTTGATTAAATGGTGGAAACAAGATTTCCAACTCTCTCATTTAGATGTACAGATGGCCTTACGGGCTACAGCAGTCGAATCAAGAGTTAAAGATTCAGGTGTTACTGGGAGAGTCTTTTTTTCCTGGCTGCACACTTGCAGGACACAGTGCAAGCACAGTCTGAATTCCACCAGGGAATGCACTTATGTGCCACAGCAAGTAAAGCGAGGACAGAGCAGAGGGCAGTGTCTAATAAGGCATTGTGAAAAAGAAAAGAGCGGCAGATTAGACCTGCTGGGAAAAGATTCTAGTCCATTTCATTCGCCTAGGCTACTGGAGCCTCGAATCATCGACCACCAGAGCGGTAGCCAGTAGCTCTTAACACGACTATGCTACTGAACATCCACAATAAAGGAAGATCACAAAGATGTGCAACTGGTATCCAATTGAGACTCGAGTGGCACCTCCTAGAATATGAAGGTATTAAGTGATCCACACTCCAGTCATATATGTAAATTATGGATGATCAGTAGCATGGTGGTAAGAGCTACTGGTATCTCTCTGCTGGTTGGTGGTTCGAGGCTGTGATACCCAAGGTGAATGAAATATTATCTACATATAACATGGTTAGCAAGTTATTTTTTCCAGTCTATCTTGTCAAACCCATAACCAAGGGAAAGAGAGAGGAAGACAGAAGGAAAAATGGGTTATGGGAATGGAAATGGTCAGTTGGTCAATGTTATAGAGATCAAGGAAGTTATGTCAGGTCTGTATAAATGGGGGAAAAAAAAGGCAGAATGATAAAACAGGAAAGTGTAATTACAAGATTCAGCTTGCTGGAATACATACAATGTATTGTATAGATGGCTGAAATGGAAAGGAAAAAAGCTGAATGGAATACAGCTTGCTGGAATATATACAATGGAGAAGAGGGGACAAAAAAGATCTAAAAGACGGCCTTGGGTATTTGTCAGAGCATCAGCCCCAGAGGGTGTGCCGACCATTAACATTACCCAAAAGGAGCGCTAGCTCCAGTAATGAGTCTAAGAGGTGTTTAAGATTTGGAAGAGAATACAGAATATGTTGGGGGAGGTTATCTTGAGATGATTTCGGGGCTAAGCGTTCCCGCGGCCCGGTCCTCGCCCAGGCCTCCTTTTTGTTACACACCCCCAGTAAGTGGCAGCCCGTAGCAGCTGTCTAACTCCCAGGTACCTATTTACTGCTAGGCGAACAGGAGCAGCAGGGTGAAAGAAACTTTTTGCCCATTTGTCTCCGCCTCCACCGGAGATCGAACCCGGAACCTCAGGACTACGAATCCGAAGCGCTGTCCACTCAGCTGTCAGGCGCCCCCAGAGCATCATCCACCGGGGGGAGGGGAGATAAATGGAACAGATTGTATACCATTTACTCGCAAAGGCACGAGCAGCCATGGAAGGAACGTTCGACTTCAACTTATTACCCGAAATGCTGTGCGTATTAGTGGCTTCAGGCATTGTATGTACTAGCTCTATCTATTAAACCGACAACCAGAGCGCAACTCCATAGTCTCCTGAGACTGATGGATGCCTACTACTACTATTTGCGAGGGCAGCGGCGAGGGCAGGCGGAGTGAGGGCAGAGCCCCATTGTGCGCCCGTATTTATAGGGCCCCAAACTGCCCGCGCAACGCCGCGGGACGCGCTGCGCAATTGTTTCCTTCTCCCCCGCCAGAAACATCCCCGCTTGCATCAAGCAAGCAGTGACCATGTTTGTAACTCATTTTCAATGTATGTACCTGTATAAATATCTTATCAAAAAGGAAGGAGTAAACAGAAACAGCGTTGTGGATGAAGAGAGCAGTAGAATTAGGATTTCCAGAAGTTCATTAATTAACTTTGGCATAAAAACCACATATATTCCACTGAAGAATAGACATAGTGAAGAACAGGAATAATAATAAAAAGAAAGAAAAAAAATCTAGAGCAAAGAAAAAGAATGCAAGATAGTTGGAGAGATCAAGACCAGGTTCTGTGAAATCAGGGTTGAGGTGGGGGGGGCAGAGGTAAATCCAATGATGATAGTTGTATCACGGTAAAGAGCATAAGCGATACGTTAAGGGGCCAGTGAGGCAGGTGGTGGTGGGGAGGAAAACCACTTGAGGACAAAAATAGTAGCGTACACTGGAGGTACACGCTGCACAATGTACTGTATCGCCACGTGCACCCTGTTCTTCCATATATACCCTGTACATACTCTTTACCCTCCACATGTACTCTGCACCCACATATGTACTTTGTACCCCTCATATTTATTCTGTACCAGCATGTACACCCTGTGCTGTGGTAGAATCCTGGTAGTACAGTCGGGTCCTTTCTCGATGCACAATTGAGAATTCTGGATTCGAATCCCGGGTGGGATAGAAATGGTTGGCCGCATTTTCTTTTAGCTAATGCCTCTGTTCACCTAGCAGTGAGTAGGAACAGCATAGAAATTTATTGAAACAAAATTAACAGTACTAATAGTACTGTTGATCTCTTGGAGGAAAGCCGTCAGACGTATCTACCACTTAAATTTGGTTCTGCATGTCCATTTAAAATTAAACTTCACCAGTATATGAAAAATGGTTGGTAATCATAACATCTGTATCAGCAAATGTTGGAATTTGTGGAACAAAGTCGGCACCCATCTGCTCAGATGAATACTGTACATCCGGTGTTCTGGTGGCGGCACCATCAAGGGAGGGAAACCACCCAACACCACGGCCATGTATCCTAGAACCAACAAAACTACACTGCCTAGGTGAAGCTCTCCTATCCATGCACTGCCGGTACAGACATTGGAAGGTGAGGGCAGTCTTCCTTCAATTTTCCCATGTGGGGTGAGCAGCTAGCTGACTCTGCTTGCAAGCACAATGTGCAGCACGACCATTTGCCACATCAATGTGAAAATTCTCAGAATCCAAGTCACTAAATCTTGGAAACAAGTCATCTTAGCACACATTCTTGGCCTCCAGACACAGACCTGGCAAGTGGCACAGACTCACATGGCCGGTTTCGCGATAGCAGTGGAGGTCTAGAATGAGGGCACTCTGGTAGTAGACACACGTGTCTATTCCTCAACCCGTTCTCGCAAATTTAATAAGTCAATATTGACTTATTAAATATGTGCATAGGTGACATACTTAACATAATAGATACCCTTAAAAAGATTCATAGAAAACACCGACCTTACCTAACCTTGTTAGTATCTTAAGATAAGCATCTTATAGCTTCGTAATTACAATTATTACCTAACCTATAATAGGTATAGGTTAAGTAATAATTGTAATTACGAAGCAATAAGATGCTTATCTTAAGATACTAACAAGGTTAGGTAAGGTCGGTGTTTTCTATGAATCTTTTTAAGGGTATCTATTATGTTTAGTATATCACCTATGCACGTAGTTAATAAGTCAATATTGACTTTACGA